CGTCGCAAACCTTATGTTCCCCATTATACCCCCAGGGCTTGGCTCTTTTGGCTTTTCTTTATTCTATTTTGGCCCCGTCATTTTTTTTTTTTTGCTGGTGTTTTTTTTTTTTTTTATGGTTTTTTTTTTTTTTTTTTTTTTTTTTTTTTTTTTTTCATAAAATCTCGTAGTAAAGGCGATTTAATTTGCATGTGCTAAGACTCGACACGTGTGTAAAAGGTAAAAGACTTACTATGTGAGCTGGCGGAATTTCATTGCCTCTTCTTCGGTGCGTATCGCAGGGTTGCCAGTAATCATCCGGAATCCCTTGTAAAAATAAGTCACGATACAGACGTCAAGTATAAGGCCAATTGGTATAACTTACAGGTTTGAATGCGGTAACAGTTGTGTTCTGGTAACTCGGTATGTAGTAAATCGTCATACCACCGCCGTTCGACTCTTCAAAGTAAACATTACCCTTTTGCGGGACACGCTTATACGTCCCATTTCGTGCGCGGAAGAACATGACTGCAGTCCAATAATTGGAAAAGTCCTCGGCAAAGGTGCAAGTCGTGCAAGTAGCCGTGCTGGGGATATCCATAATCTTTGGATCCATCGATGGCTTAAAGGCATTCTACAGATTTCGATTTGTTAGATTAGGCCCCTATAACTACCAGCTTAAATTATGTCAGGTATGTATACGTACTCCGCCGATAACCTGATGAAGATGTGGTGATCCGACAACGCCGGGGTTGACTAAGGGGTCGAGTCGTTCAACGACAAGCTGGGAACACGAAAAGCGAAGTAGAGCAGAGACACCTGGTAAAATAACGCTAGCGCTCGCAAGTACGAAACTCCAATGCGGTCGCATCTTGAACTGTTGAAGTCTAGGTGGAGATTCTCTCGGGTGAGAACCAAAGTTGAATTTTATTATATTTTAACTATAATTTGTTGCTGGTTACTATAGAGATATTGAGATCAAATAAGCTTTGGGTAAGTCTTGAGAACAAGGTATACATGGGAAATCCGTTCTATTAATAGTATAATGCCGCCGGCATGAAGTGCCGCTCTGAAGTCACTGTTTAATATATCATCATTCTAGCCATATTGCCGGTCGGGCGGGTGTTCTGCCCACCAATCAACATCATCTAGTCCCGCGTAAGATAGTAACAAGTCCAAATTTACACGATAAGGTCGCTATAGAACAATCCCACGCGCCGACTGGACGAATTTGAACGATATATCTACCTTAGGTAGTTTCCTAGGCTGTGCCTAGTGGCGAATACCTGGCCCATACGAATGGATCTGATGTTGGTTTTCTTTGTATACCTATGCACTCTGAATTTCTGGAAACTCTCGCTATTATATAGGAACTTCATTCAAAGTCTCGCGTATCTTTTATGCCAAAGAGTCCCGCCATACTTGTTCTCAGTATTTGGCGCTATATTATTTGCTGAATGACTACTCGCGTCATTATACTAATTGAATGATCGTAGGCTCCTGCTCAATTAATCCAGGCGGAAACCGATCTATCATACCTAGCCTCCGATATATAGACTCCGTCCCTTCGACAAGACGAAGGACCAGTCCTGGGCCCTTTGTACCGCGAAGAATATAAACATCCATTGGACTCTCGGCATCACAAGTTAGTTCCGACGTTACGTCAACATACCAATTCTTCTCTTGAGTCTCTGCGGCTTGAATCCGCCGCCGAGGGTCGAGTATGTTCTTCTGATAGTCGAATGGAACCCAGGCACGGGCCCGGTATAATAACCCTCGAATGGTTATATTCTTAGCACAGATCTTCGCAAGAGGCCTAGATATTTCTGGGTCGTATGAGATATGAAGTATTTCAATACCCTCAAGTACACGTGTGCTGGGTGCGTATCGAAATGATCCGGACACTGATACCCATGACCACGATGGAACCTCTTTACTAGTATTACGTTTCGAAATAATACTATAATTCGTGCCAAACGATGCACTAGCTTCCCAAAATAGATCGGAAAGTAAGGTTGTCTCCCATAAACCATTCACATATCGGCCGAGACCCCTTTCGTAGAATGGTTGCGCTATTCCCGCCAAGGCAGGCAATCTGTCTGTGTCGTATGTTATTCCCTTAAGTAGATAAGCTTCCATTATATCTTCCCATAGTCGGTATAAGGCCTTCAACGAGCCACCGCGAAGCTGGGTGTCAAATCTGGCCTTTAGATCACTCGAGGAGACAACTTCACGCGTGTTCTCAGTATACTCCCCGCAGTTGCAGCACCGCTTGGAGAGGCATACCCAAAGTATCTCCCACTGCGTAAATGACAATACGCGTGGGGATAGAAGATACTCTGCGTTTATTGTTAACTATGAGTATTCTTAAAGAAAAAGGGGGCTATATCAACCCACCCTGGAAACACCAAGATCGTTCGAGCAAAGGCGCTCGTGTCGAGGAATCTAGGCCGTAATGGGTGTTGGCAAAGTATGGTGTATGTTCCAGTGCTGGGCGCACATTCACGGTGGTAGGCAGGCCTGTTGTAAGACGTCGTTCGGTAGTGTGTCGAGCATCTAGTATGTCATGTCGATAGAATAAGCCACCACTACTGTCGGCTGATGCGGTTGCTGCGATAGTGACATACGAATTACCGTACACGTCTGCCATATGTGAGGCTTCGTTTATCCAGTCTTCCAGGCTATCTTGGATAATACAAAGAGAATCGATCCAAAGATAGCGACATTGAAGCTGTCGTGTAATATATATCGCATCCTGGAATGTCCTTGGTAACGACTCGATCGATATCCCCTCTTTATTTTTACCTAGCGTTTCGGCCGTCGTCATAGAGGGGACAATGCCTCCCCAGCAATGGCTCAGAGCTGTATAAGGGCCCTTATCGGTCTTGACCGGCTCATATACGAAGGCATAGTCTTGATCTCGCGACACATCTAGCACTCTGGTGGGAAGATAGTCGCTCAGGCGGCTTCTACAGATATCATGCTTGTCGTTGCAATGGGTAACCCAACTTTTCATTTGTGAAAGGTACTTCTCAGATGCGGTATTCGGCTCAAGGTCGCTGCTCGGTTTGAAAGTACCTGATAACGGGTCGTGCGCTGATATTGTTTAGCTAATATGGACACCCTCTTCACAAGTCGTTCGATACCTAAGAGGTAGGTAGCTAAGAATATACATACCGTCTTTAGTATAGTAATGAAGGCCTACCCATGCTTTGTCTTCGGGTGACTGCTTATACTGAAGGCGGAATGGACCTTCTTCCTGACGCAACACGATCCACTGAACTGTCCCCGGGCTCACTAGGCAGAAGGCTTCCAGGCCTTCCCAAAGAATCGAGCAAAGCTGACAAGTGGGCGCTGAGCTCTCTAGCTCATGACCCGTGCCACCGGTTATGAAACCTCCAGAAAGTCCTGGTAAAGGTTCCAGGTTGCGGCATGTAGTACATGAATCCATTTTTGACGCGTTTTGGTTGATATTTTATGGTCATATGGATGAGTTCAGCTGGAGATCATTATTCATTCCTATCAGCATCATAACCTGAAACCCCGGGCATTCAGCTTGTGTAGCCCCCAAGAGGTCTGCATTGCGTGGTATTCTCGTTAGGGAAATTTAGGTATTACTGATTTTATGACCTGTAATATTTTACCTTGACCATGGTACTTCTTGTATCAGATCATCAGCTCATCAGCTCATCCGATACATAGCTACCTAGCCAATAATAAAGTAGGTTTTACCCTTCCACAGCAGTTTAACTAAGTTTGTTCTATAGGTAAACTTATAAGAGATATTAAATACCTAGTTAAATATTACTAATAACTAATAGAAGTCTGATGAAGTCTCCTTGTTCTTAGCTAGGTACTTTCTTCCATAAAAATTCAACAGGGGTTAGAAACTACCCCTGAAGAAAAATCAGCGCAACCAATCAAATAAGAGAGAATTCGAAATGCTGAATCCTACCTACGAGAGCCTACTATATTGTATCGACTTGCTATCAATTCATATAGCCAGTAGCATTGAAGACTATAGAATGACTGAATTGTCATATAGGTATCCTAACCTCGATTTCCAAACTATTAAATTGTGGGTGAACACTCCAACATAAAACGGGACAAGATCACCATAGTAACTTTTTAAATCTAGACACCTGCGCCTGTGATTTGTAACTGGTAGTCCAAACCCCGACTTACGTCGCTAGTGAGTGAGAAAGGATCATACAGATAGAGCGTATTCGGTGTGTTCGCAACCACGAGAGTAGCCTCCTCCCCGCTAGCCAAATTTGCTTGCACCTTGTTATCTACCACCTCGATATACCTAGCAGCTCCATTGGAACCTTTTACCGCCAGAGTTGCTGTATATGGTGCCGTAGCAGTAACAATGATACTAATCGACGATCCAGTTGCCTTCAAGGGGATGATGTTGGCGCCCATATAACGCGGCTGCCGAGCTGCTTTAACTCGATACCTCCCATTGCCCTGGGAATCCAAATTCGCGTAGTTGAACTCTTTCCTCTGCCTCTCGAATAGAGCCCTGGCCTTTTCGTGTCCGAGGTCGACATACGCCATTCTAGCCCAGTAGCGACCGACAATCGTCTGGATTTTTGTAGGCGATGCGAGCTGATCCAAAACATGTAGAGGGGTCTCATTGCTGTTCCTCTTGTATTTCCTCCATACGTTCGGAAAATTCGCCATCCCCAGACCGGCGTAGTTGTCTGGATTATTCGTAATGTAAGTCAGGAATGGCCATGCTTCGTAATAGTTTCCGGTACCGCTTGACCCATCCACGATTACTTGGAAAGAATCGCTTATAACTTTCTTGAGATTCATGAGAGTGTCGCCACTTGGTTGATTATAGCGCGCCCTCGAGTCTGCACAAATCGAAGAAGTTATAAACGTGTCGGCGACGAAGTTGGCGACCGTCTCCCACCATGCCCCCGTCCGGCCCTGGTCAATCCAGTATCTCTCAGCATATGTGAGAGCATGCCCGAACTCGTGAACAGTAATCGAAGGCGTACTCATCCATTGCGTAACGACATTTAGGAAACTTAGGCCAGTGGCGCTATCGGTTCCGGTATTGGCAGCAGTATTAGCCCCTAAATCCGCAACGTCGTAGACATTCATCTTGTACCAGGGGCCGTTATCATCGTCTTGATTGAATGAGAGGCCCGTCGACCTCCATCCTTGACCAGTTACGAAACAGTCGTAGGCTGACTCAAGAGTCTGCAGTACGGCGTTCGCGACAGAATCGCTTGTCGCATCATAGACGCGAAAATGCGGCGAGTCCTTGTATCTGTTTCCTCCGGGGCCAACCCTCGTGTTCGGTGTGAATTCAGCCGGAGGTGCAGCTTGCACTCGCGTAGGAGCAGCAATAACCCCAGCAGCCCACCACAAGGGGAAAATGGTTAAGGTGAATCCTCTCATTGCTCCGAATATGTAAGGCCGTCTTAAATGCGATGCATGAGTAAGGTTTAGACCAGTTGGAAACCCCTAGAGCGACGATCATCAATTTTATGGCCGGAAGCTGAGCTCATTATGAACTCTGGTAGCGGAGCCGAGATGTAGTCTTTCCGAGATTGGATGTTTCTTCAACCACATTAAGCGGATAGCCTAAAATGCGTTGCAACCAAACCATACGACTTATCACCTAATGTTTTCGCACCTATAGGAGCTAGTTTGAACTAAGAGAGCTCCTATTACTGTAATTAAGGGCGAAGGAAAGATACAGATTCTCTTATACCTAGTCCACCTATGGCCAAATCGTAGTAGAAGCAACTTCTTGGAACCTTGGTGGCAACATGAGGAAGGAGAATAAGTTATACTAGCAAACAACTACGGTAAGTTGATAACTTCCCCCCATATTCATGTCAAGATACGTGCTAGAGTATCGTCTCTATCACTACATACTAGTATTTCAAAGCTATGAAGTGATTTTCGCTATTCGGAGAAGATGCTCAAATATTATCGATAGTTACCTAGTAACAGGTATACTGTTATAGTACGGATACGGGAGCTTGTTCATTTTCACATATGCAATAATAATATGCATAGGGGTAGGACAGAAAATGCCAAGAGAGGTCGAGATCTACAGTTTCGGGTTGGGGCTGGTGGTAACGTGGTCCCCTTTCAATCTCGCGTCAGCGTTATACAAAGTGAACTTTACACTACTCGGGTTGGCCATAGATATCTACAGCAAACCAACTTAATAATGCGATTGCTCAATACGTCTTCTATTACCCTTGAAGAATTCCAAGGCTCGCCCCCTGAGTATGCGATATTATCGCATACTTGGCTCGACGACGAAGTAACACTGCAAGACCTCACTCTGGACAAAGATCGAACTAAGGCTGGCTGGGATAAGATTCTGAATTGCTGTCGAAAGTGCTTAAAGGAAGGATGGAAATACGTTTGGATCGATACCTGCTGCATCGACAAAACTAGCAGCGCCGAGTTATCGGAAGCCATCAACTCCATGTTCGCATGGTACCAACGCGCGGCTATCTGCTACGCCTTCTTGAGTGACGTCTGGAGAGTTCGGAAAGGTGACGAGCCAGGAACACTTGCGAGGTCACGCTGGTTTACTCGAGGTTGGACGTTGCAAGAACTTCTAGCGCCCTCGTATCTCATATTCCTAGACAGCAGCTGGCGGGAAATAGGCTCGCGTTCGTTTCTTTCCTCGACGATTGAGACGATCACGGGCATCTCTGCGTATCAGATGGCCCATTTTAGAGACTGCAGTATTGCCACCAAGATGTCCTGGGCCGCAGGCCGGCAGACCACTCGTATCGAAGACCAAGCCTACTGCTTGCTCGGTTTATTTGGCATAAATATGCCTTTGCTCTACGGCGAAGAGGAAAAGGCGTTCATCCGTCTGCAGCAGGAGATTTTGAGGGTCTCGGATGACGAAACGATTTTTGCGTGGCGAGGTAAGTCAGCGCGCCAAAGAGTAGTATCCCCTAGCCAGATAACTCAACAGGGAAAATCTCTTAGGAAAGAGAACATCTCCGGAGTACCAAGATGTTCTCTGTGGAATGCTAGCTACATCCCCTATTTGCTTTTCTAGATCTGCTCACTACGAGCCGTTTCTCATAGATGAGCAGCGGGCTGAGTATGCGATGACCAACAAAGGACTTGGTATGACCATTGACATATGGAGGTATATTGGGCCGGATGTCGCAAAGGGTGCGCGACCGATGCGCTATCTTGCACCGTTGAATTGTCAGTCCACGATAGATAATAAAGCCGTAGCAGTCATCTTGCTACGCGAAAGCGAGGAATCCTACGTTCGTGTGGACGCCCACGAGTTAGCCCCCTGGCACGACGAGGTTTCTAAGACTGATCTCTGGGAGTTAATCCCCAGGAAGCGGCTATATGTACGACAGGTTGAAGAGTATTCCGGTACCCCTAAAGACTTACTAAAATCAGGATATCGCTTCACCTTTCACGCCACGTATGCCGTACGTTTACGAGAGCTATACGAGTATCCAGATGGATCATACACGCCCTCTAGGATATTAGATTATGAAGATATATATCGCGACTTCAATCATCTAACGATGGCTAAGCGCAGTTTTCGAATGCTTATACTCGTAGATATTGCGGATATGGAGCTGGTTTTATGCGTTTCTACGTTCAATAACTTCTTCGCGTTATCAATGTACGTGAAAAACGAGTTTCCGGAGATGACGGACATATTAGATGAAGCAGAGGAGGCGTTGAAACAAGCTACAGATACTGTGTCTTTGAAATTTCCAGAACAGAACTTCGTGGTTAAGGCAAGAATACGACCTAAGCCAACATTAGACGATAAGACAAAAAGCATTAAAAAGTCTGTCCAACTCGACATGGATTGCCAAACTTACGACTACTTCGACCCATTTGACGAATGGGATTTATTACCTGAACATTTAAACCCCGAATACTGTCCAGTGCCACACGATTAGGAGCCGAGCCCACGTCGAAAGAACGATTTAGAGTCGAGGCGTAGGTATTCGCCGTCGCCGTCATCTCTACCGTATCGAGAACCGTCTACAGAGAGGGTATCTTCCGGAAACGCTATAGACGATAGAATATAGCAAGTTCGGTCGGCAGAAGAGGGTATTTCGCACGCTAATAAACAAGTCGATGGCCCCTTTTATACAAGTGGGGAAGTAAATAAGGGGGAAGGGGGGTCAATACCAATGCCGCCTAAGTGATTGGCGCATGTATTATGAATTTGGTCAATTATCACATCAATATCTATGAATCTAGATAGTGGCGGGTAAATACTTATTATTCATTACGATCATCTACAGAAGGTGTCCTATTTGCTAACTAGAGCGCAGGCCAAGACATACCCTAATTTCAAGCAAAGTCCCAGGTTAAATGTATGATCCCTAGTAAGACCAAGTGTACGACCCCGACTGGACCATCAAGACTCAACTCGGTGGTATGCTATACGGGCCATCTACTTACGATGACTTTCTACTTCGCAAATTGTATCGTGGGGTTTCCGCATTGAGCTTCTCCCAGTATGCGTCAACAAGCTGAGTAGAAATATCAGCGACACGCTCCCATGTCTCTTTATCATTTTCCCAGTCTCCTTCCCAGCGAACCTTGTACCATTTTACGGCGGGACGTGCGGCGTGGGGAGGATGGTGGCCTACTAAGGCCTCAACATCGTGTACGTTGTCTTCTTCGTCCAGCTCAACTTCAACTTCAGCGCTGTCGGGTATAGGGCTGGTGCTTATATTTGCCTCCGGCGTAGGAGTTGTTGGGGGAGATACAGGCGTGGTAGTAGGGCGTTTAGGTGAATAGGGCGACAAGAGGGTGTCCATAGGGAGAGTGTTTGTAGGGAACGTAGGTTTAAGGAGCGTAGATGTAGAGGGAGTGGGTGTAGATGGAGTGGGTGTAGATGGAGGTGTAAAAAACGTATCTGTGGGATTATCATCCAGAAGAGCTTCTAGTTGTTTCTCGGGAGGTACTACGTGTGAAGGAGACATAGGATAGATATATGGCATACCAGGATTATATATCATCTCAGGGGGGTTCTGTTTCGGTAGCAAAGCACCATTTAAATTTAGGGCCGTAGAGAACACCGCGTCCGGGTCCGATCCGACTCTGCTTGCCCCTGCGATCCACGGAACAACGTATGGATCGTCGTCCATCGGGAGGATTCCGGCACAAAACTTGTCCCACAACGGTGTGTTATGTGGCCACGAGACCGTACTGGTGTCGAGAGACCATCTACTATCCGCGACTCGCAGACCCAAGAACTTCGACACATATTCGTTGCGCCTCGGGTCTGCCTCGGCGCCGGGACGAGGGGGAAGCGCGCCGGGCCCGGAATTCAGATCATAGAGTATAGCGAACTGGGCAAGGCAATCCTTCGCTTTAATAGCAATTTCATGTAGTCGCGTACGCAACCACTCGGCATTTGCCAGCCCGGCAGCGTACGAGGAGGATCCTTCTATACTGATGGGCAAATTTATCAGATGGTGATAAGAGAACCACAGCTCGGCGCCGGCTTTGAATAGCCACCCCGCAATATACAGATGGGTTGGATTATGCCCCCTGTATATATTTAGAAATGAGATGTCCTTAGTCTCACCATTTTCTTCGTCGACAAAGTGGTGATACTTGGTCCATATACTACAATTATCCGACCAGCACCAGTGATGACGCTCAAGACGGCAGCATCCAGGGTGCCAAGGACAATACTGATTCATATCAATTTGCTCTGCGATATGAGGATAGTCGCATATCTTACTATCTGGTTCCTGCCACGGGCTGTAAACTGTGTAGCCCGTGATAGGATTTATAATGCTTTGACGACGGGTGTCGTGCTCGGGGGTGGTGCAATGGACGTAGATCTCGAGACACATCTTCAAATGAAATACACTATCAAGATATAACACGTAGTCCGGTAATATGGATTGGCATGACCTCTCAGGAGGTCATGGTAAATAGGTACATTATAGATATATATACGATGCTGCTTTTGTTCCAGGTATCTAATTGACAGCGGAGTCAAGTCTGAACAATGTTCATCAACCCCATTACCACCGCCCAACGACAACATTATAATCTAGACAAGTTCTTTGTTTACCATTCGTTAGAGCAAAGCCCTTCCGAATTTCTCTCACATTTCCATCATCTTGCGAACAATACCTTAGTGCCAATAAACAATATCTTACCCAAGCCGCTTTCTTTCTCTTAGCCCAATAAGCTTACTCCTACTCTTCCCCCGTGTTCGCCTTCTCCCACCTCAAAGTTCATCTACCGAAGCTGGGGCCTTGCACCTGACCCTTTCTCTTCCTCACTTGGCCTCGATGTGGTTAAGTCAATCAAGACGTCGTAGTTGGGTTCTGGAGTCGGAGTCCGACGGCTGTGCTCGGTGATCATCCGGGCATCGGGCTCGCGCCAAGAATCCGACCAAAAATAAACCAGCTCAATTACCCTCAACCGGAGATGCAGTTAGGATAGCAGCTCGGTCGGTTGGCTTGAAGTCAACAACCTGGAAATTTAAGTAGGTAGCGTCGTAATATGCGGCTGAGCAGCTTACGCGATGATTATTAGCATCAAACCAAGGAAAAAGTGGGAATAGGGGCCAATACAGCTGAGTACATGGTCCTCGTCTGACCGATGCCGACATTGAGCAGGTAAATTTAGCTTGCATCTTCTTCGTTTTCAATTATTTGGAGACGACGGCGATATATCTGGTGACGTGGTCGGATATCCGGGACCTTTGTGTTCGCCAGGGTATTACTTCTACCCCATGGGCTTACTGTGACGACCAAATGCACCGCCAATCATATTATGTAGGTATTTGCACATTTTTGTATATCGTGAATTTTGTGTAACCGATTCATGCCGCCACGATAAATCATTACGTTGCTGGTTATAAAGTCCTTAGTACATATGTGAGATCCGCGATGCAGACCCCATATGTAGTCATACCCAAGTACCGAAGCCACGCTGCCAATGTACTTGTTGGGAAACACTCGAGAGAGGCGCGTGACTATGCGATGGGGATCATTTGTCTCGGATCTTGTAGCTTATTACTGGCACCTATTTTGTGACCTCTATGCACATGCCCAGAATGTTGTATTAGGAAAAGCCAACGCATGTTGTTTGTCGGTAGCATGGTAGTATGGTAGCAGGCGCTTCGAAGCCACGCTTGTGTAATTGCTTGGTAGACTACCTCCTACGACCAAGTAACGACATGTTTCCTAATCACCGCTAAAACGTCGTCTCGGTGGTCTCTCGTTACCACGGATACCCGTCTAGACACTAGACACTAGCCATGGGCTATTCGTTCGTTCAACCAGTGAACAATAAACATACTGTAGCAGGCCGTTAAGAATAATATCCTCTCGGACAACCATGATATGCCGATTCCGATTCCGCTGCCGCATTCCTCTTGCTAGCAGTCCCGTAAATGCAGCCTCATATATGTGTGGTATCAATGCCGCTCCCCATATAACGCCAATCCCGAATTAAACACCTAGGTACGGCCACAATGCGAAGTTGCCATGCTAAGTGACCATGCTGTCGTCCCCGATTCCTTTATCCTTCCGTTCGTCTTGGAGCATCCGAATTAGCTTATTGATCGTATTTCCGTCGCGCAGCCTTTCGACCTCTCTCACCGCCTCATCTTCATCCAAGCCCTCCGCCATATATTCTTTGATCTTGTCCCAGATGACCTTTCGCCTCGAGTACCATGTGCGGCCCCGCGGCTCCGGTCGCCAGCGCGAACCCCACGCAGCATCCAATTCCTCAATTGCAGGCTGTCCATCCATTCCCTCCCGGTACTCTTTCCATACCTCCTCTACCGTGCCGACAGTCCCGTATTTATACTGAGGAGGCACTGCAGATCCCGGTGTTTGCGCGGCCGGTCTAGGTTGAACGGCCTGAGAAGAAGTGGATGGGGAAGTTGGAGGAGGCCTAGCAGGGCGGCTTGGCGTTTGCATAGAAATCGGCGGTCCCCGAGGGTATGAAGCAGCCGACAGTTGCGGAGGGGGCGGGGGTATAATAGGTCGTACGGAGGAATCGCGGGAGCTGAGTGCCTATAAAAAAAAGGTGCAACGGGTTAGTGGATAATATAAATAAATTTTGGATACGGGGAATGGCATGGGGTTTTGGGGCATGACACGTACCGAAGCTGCAGCTTGATGGGAGGCCACTAAACTTCCACGAAGGTCATTCAGCTGTTGGCTGATGGCATCGAATTGCGCCGAGATATGAGCGACGTATTGCTGGTGTTGCATCTGAATCTGGAGGATGGTGGCGATTAATTGCTCGGGGGTCCTGCCCAGCAGCTGTTCCTCTGTAACCATAGCGGGTAGGGACATAGCAGCTTGAGGTTGATGATAGAATTGGGTTGCTGTCGTAGTCGGAGGAGCCGAAGCTGAAGACGACGAAGGAGCAATAATAGGAGCGGCAGCCAAGGGACTCGGATTCGGAATGGGGTTCGTTCTGGTACTAGATGTAGCTTGTCTTTTTGAAGGAATGACGCTTGCGCCGGCACTGCGCTGCAGATCGGCTGCAGCAGGTCGCTTCAATGACGCCCCTGTCGCTGCAGGGCCTGGACCAGGTACCGGAAGAGCTGAGGTAGTGGTGCTAGTGGTAATGGTTGGGTCCGTGGCCGCGGCCGTAGATGGGGGCGGTACGTTACTAAGGCCGGCCGAGGGCGAAGGCAGCATGACGGGCCCCCTTTAACCAGTAAACTCGTCCGAGAGATCCAGGTAGGGGGGGGTGATAATTAAAATAAAAAGAGTAGTAGAGCTTCAAGTTATATGGTGGGGGGTTGGAAAAGGGGGGGTATGAAAGAATAAGAAAAAATAAGCTAGAACAAAAATGAATAAATCAAAGTAAGAAAAGTAAAAAAATAATAAAAATAATTAATAAAATAATTAAGATATTAAAATAGTTCGGGGAACGGATATGTTCAAGAAGGGAAAGAGTTAAAAATAAGAATGCAAAGAGACTTTTTGGGTGATCAGACGGACGTCCGGGCTAGCCGGGGCCCTGTTTCTCTTAGTTGAAAATAAAAATAGTAGAAGTAGAAAGTAGAGGTAGAAGTAGTAAGAGAAATGTAAGAGTAGGAGTAATAAGAGTAAGTAAGTAAGATGGAAAGACCAGGTTAGGTGAAGAAACAGATGATAGATGACAACCTAGACAAGGAAGTAATGAGACCAGGACCAGGACACCAGGATAACCAGAACACAGAACAAGGACAAGCGACCCGAAGTAAATAGGAATAGCTATGCGGTAGTTGATGAATGATGACAGTGATGACGATGACGATGGCGATGGGTGAGAACGCGACTTAGAAGAAAAAGGAATAAGTCGGCATCTACATCAGTAGCAGCAGGAATGGAATACCTCTATCGGAAGTAATCCAGCGGAAGTATCCAGCGATCCAACGATCCAGCAACAGTAACATCAGCTTGTGATAGTAAAAAGGTATCAAGGTATCAACCTGGTAGGTTATCAACCATGGGGCTTCAGCATCAGCATCAGAATCAGCATCGTCGATATCAGTTAATATTTTACCATGCGCGAGATGCGGCGAACTTGACCGAAGACCAAGGATGGCATTCCTATCGTCTACATATGTAATGCAAATGTGTGTTGTCCCGGTTTGTGTCGCCGTGGACGGGGTCACCTGCGGTGTGTGTCGGCTGTCAACGTGTTGGTGACATGTTGTGTGTGAGAGTGTAAAAAAAGCGTAAGAGTTGAGGCCTGATGAGTGTACGTGCGTTGCATATGTTGGTGGTGGTGATTATTACGATTATTATGATAATTTTGGTTTCACACCTGTATTTTCATCTCTTCATTTTCAAGTTTGTTTTGGTTGAACCCCCGTTTGATGATTTGTAGCAGAAAATGGAAGTGAGCAACCTCCATGTACAAAAAGAGCATTGGGCAATTGAGTCCCTTTAGGTTAGGTATATTGATTATGTACTGGTACGATATGATCTCATACAAGATATGGTATCCGGCTAGGTATATTCCACTTGTAGGTACAAATCTCAATTATCCCTACCCGTAGCTAAAAATGTGGAATCAACATGGACATCTTGGTTTATCTAGGCTAGATCACGTGACATCAAAGCTAAAATGGTAACTGGGGGCTGTTGAAGGTAGCACTCAGCAAGCAATAGGGTGGTAGTACATACCCTTTAGCGGTCTAGCTACCTGCTTGGCGGCAATCTTGCAATCTTGGCTCATTCGGCAGGGAAAGCAGGGAAAGCAGGGAAGGGGACCTAGGTATAGTGGATCTGGTTTTACAAATAATGGTAATTGGGTAACATCAATTGTAACTGCTGCAACTACTGCAACTACTGCAACTTTGCTGCAGATGCAAACATCTAATGTAACTCTTGTAACGCTTGGAAAGCAATCCGTACCTATTAGGTACCAGACTCAGTGCAGAAGAAAAAGACTTACGCGTCACACACTGCAGCGACAACCATTGCGGGCGAAAGAGACATTGTGTTACCTGAGAGGTCTGAGAGAGTTTGGCCATCACAAAAAAAAAAGATTACTGGATTACTGTATCATGTATATTTTTATACATATTTATATACATCGAATGTCAATCAATTCCTTAAACTCTCTTCCGATCTAGATTATCTTTCTTTGACAGAAACCCCATCGTCCAATCCATCCAATCATCTGGGATAAGCCGCATACTTACAAGTTACTTACAAGTAAATACCTACACACATATTACATTCACAAGTTACCTACCCTTATACATGCCTACTTAAGCCCTGCATAAACATCTGATTCTCATGATCTTCTTTCCCCCGGTCCAGTTGACACCTGCCATCATGCAAAAATAAATTAACTGACAAGACAGATGATTTAATATCATGGCTGAGGCTTTACAATCCGGGTTAGCTTTTCGTATATTCCCCAACGTTGGCTGACTACCCGCGTCTCGTTCGTACTCTGTTTTCGTATGGTCCACTACGAGGACGACGTGCAGCATCCACATCATGTAGGTCTAAAGTACGGCTGAGGCGGCAGCTCTATTGCTGAATCAGGTATAACCGTCATTACAATCCTCGCCAAGTCACTCAGCCACGTCTAATATATCCAATCCATCCATAGTCATCTCTTAATCAGCTCAAATATCTGAATATTTCTGCATTTGGAGAATATTACCGAACCGTACTCGAGCGTATAATTCAACTTGGAAACGAGTACGTGAAAGTTCTACGTATCAATATACAGCCAAGGAGACAGAGGGTAGTACTAATCTATTTTACCGCTGGCTGTGAGGATTGCGAGTACGAACATATGAATATACTTACTACTGATTTTCGAATGCTACTAGGTAGCAATAGTTTTCAGGCTAACCCTTTCGTAATATCTCAACCGTCCCTAGAGTCGTCATTTCACGGGGAAAAGGTGAAAAGGTGAAATGTGAGTGTTCATAATTTAGGTAGGTAACTAGTTACTAAAGAGCTGTACAATACAAAGCCATGCTGAGAATCTGGTTTACAATAGCTAACATTCCTCGTTCATTAAGATTCTGGCGGATATATCTTACGTGTTATGGGTATAGGCATTCAACTCCTAGCTCGATGTTCAAGCAATATGAAGCAATATGACTACCTAGGTAGGTTGAGAAAGTCTGCTTCGCACTAGCTGTCGTGTCAGCTTATATACCTATCACAATGATTCCTCAACGTACATAATTACTAATTAAAGACCAACCTTGTTCCACAAAGGAGCCTCAATAAGTACCTGGGTATCTTAGGTAGTGCTATGCGATATTCATATGCGCTAATCTAGACTTCGACGTTAACCTCCCAGCTACCTACCTAAGGTAGTTAGCAAGGTATTCAGGTCCCATTCATAATAATTAGTTTGGAAGTTTAAAGCCTCAATGTGACAATAATATCAGACATTCCAATTTGTGATAAGCAGGATCCCGGAGCTAAAGAGGCTAGGAGCACCCTCTTTCAAAGCTGAGGCTTAGAATTCACACACGATGACTTAGAACGCCGATTACTCTAAATTGAGCGGAGCCATTCTTGAGAGAGAATGACTACAGACCCAGGTTCCCCATAGCTTTACGAGTTTCACCACCTCCCTGTTCTTCATTAAGATTTTTAGTTCAGTAGACAGTTCTAAGCCCCTTTCCACTCCAACTAGAAAAGTGCGATAACACTCACTCCTAACCCAAACCACCAGCAGAGAATAGTGTACCTATCGCTAGAGGGAGGAAGTAGATACCGGAATCAAACACCGTCGTAGTGAGAACAGCTCGAAAGTAAACGGGAAGAAACAGCCAGGTTTCTTAGAGCAGAAGGCTGCCTAAAAACGTCAAACCGTACGCAACAGCTGAAGTTCGGTTACTAAATAGTCGTGTTGGTATACTAGGGTTGCCCGCGAAATAGTGTTGCTGAATATGAAATCCAACCCAACCAACGACTCCGATTCCTTGGATTGATCTTCCTGCAATAATCATGGCGCTGTTACGAGCTGCTCTTACAATTGTGCTGTTAACTATGAAGAAGATAATGGACCTTAGTATAGGGGTCTTATGGCTAAGGGCATTGGCTAGTTGGCTCATTAAAATTTGGACGACGGAGGACGCGAAGACGAAGGAGTTAGCAATCTATATATATTGTGTAAAGCCTCCAATATCTCGCACAATTGTTGGGGGGGGGGGGGGGGGTAGTAGTGATGATCATAACGTCAAGGACAGAGACAAACGCGAGAAGGCAAAGGGAGATGATAATAATCCAGAATCGAGGCGAGTGGGGTTTTCGATGAGTAAAGGTTAGACGATTCGCTTCATGGCTAGGATTGGGAACAGCTGGTGGAGCTATCGGCATGTTGGTAGAGTCGTTGTTCCCCATTTCCGTGACTCAGATGAGGTTGATTGGAGCTAGGCTGGTGTTATTGCTAGTATCGAGAGAAAATGAGCCAGGTTGAATGGACACAGCTCTGTAATAGAAGGAGAAAAAGGCTCGGCTGCGCTTAATTTTCCATTTTCCTCCCAACAGACCATCAGGATCATACCTCTTGCTGACTTCTTGTAACTTGGTACGATTCTTTAAACCATACGAACCTAAAAGATCTTAGTGTCTGAAGGCGTAGTTCATGTAAATAAATGGAACTAGTTGGTTTCGCTCAGTTGCGTCTACTTTAATCTTATCGAGTGCATCCTTCATTATCTCCAACACTGCATTATCATATTCCTCGCTCTCCCAACAGGAAAGGAGAAGAATCGAGACAAGAGGGCCTTCAGTGGCACCAAGACCCAAAGAATTGCCCCTAAGTTCAGTTGACTGTTCCATCAGCGAAACTGGGTACGGCTGCAGAGTTAAAGATAGAGTTACGTTTTCAAATCCCTTCAGGGGTTTAAGCTCAGCCGTATAGATCTCAGACACGGCGTTCAAAGTTCCAAGATCTGCTTTGACTGTTATATTCATATAAGCGCATCTATCGACGCATTAGCACACTCGTCCCGAAATAGGTGATATTAAAGCTCGAAAGTTATTATAGAGTTTGTTTCGAGAAACTACCTACGTATATACACCTCACTTGAGCTTGGCCGGATGCACTTTGCTCTGCAGCCGCATCTTTCACGCTGTGAAGACGCATTATATTGAGGGCATCAATTTGTGGTTGAACTTTGGTAAATGGATCAAGCTCGGGTGGGTTTTCGAATACCTGAGTGCAGTACAGCTGATTCAAGCACATAATACTGTTACCCATCAAGAATGAATAGCCGATGCTCAACATTAGGTGCGTTTCTTTGCTTGTATTAGGTTTGTGAAGTTCCTTAACCAGGGATTCAAGCTGACTTGGGAAGCTTGAAGGGAAGTAGAATACAGTACCACCCCATATCAGCCCTTGTTTGAAGGTCCATATGTCGAAACGAGTCACGATCCCCTGATTGTTCCCTACCCCTTTCAGAGCACGCCACAAGTCCTCATTATCCGAGGCATTGGCATTGATAATCTCACCCGAGGCCAAAACGACCTCGAAGCTAAGGATATTGTCACAAATGAATCCTTCGCTACTAGAAAAGAAGGATAGGCCGCCTTGGAGACATTGATAATGCAACAGGATTGAGGGACTTGAGGACAAACCCTGAAGTGCTCGTCCACCGATACCCCCTATTGCTGAGCGGCTACCGGTTACAGAGAGCCCGAAGGCGTCTAGCTTTTCATATACCTTACCCCAGAGCTCATCTGTCCCCCCTTGGACAAAACCATTCATAATATCAATGCCGATGAAACGTCTAAGATCAAGGGTAACGCCTCCTTGAACGTTGGCAGAGCCCGGGAGTGGTTGCATCCCAGCGCCACGTATGGCAAAATTGACGCCCAACGGCTTTATCATCTTTAAGAAGATATTAACTTTTTCTTTAGTCTTGGGCTAGAAGAGACATATCACTTTGAAACGAATACTGGACTTGTTGGAAGGGATAACGCTTTGGTCGGCTGATTTGAAGCCGCTTTCCGAGAGAAGGGATGTTACGGATACTATATAAAGTGTCAATAAGGTGACAACTTTTTTCGTGTTCTGTCGCACAAGTAAACCAACTACACATGTTCCCCCTTGAGGTTCATCTCCAAGGCTAGCTAGGGTAGCTATAACATAGCGTCTTTCTCTGGGGAGAGCTGCTTTGAACCAGCCCGTGAGAGTTGTCTCCCTTTATATAGATACCTAGGTTTTAATTTTAACTGCCGCCTCTACCCATAATCCGGGTTATGGTATTGGTATTATTCTTGGGGAGGTAACCCCTAGTAAAGAAGCAGTCCTAAGTAGTGAATTCGAAGATATCGTCAAAAGAACCCTGAACGCACGGACTAGACTTGGTTGGACATATTCTCTTGAGATAACCCGAAGTTCAGCCATGCGTATTGTACAAATTTGGAATCATCAAGAGGTGCAAGCATTTCCCTGTTTTCTCCGGATTTTCAACTCACATTAAAACTTCTTCTAAGAGGCCATCTGCACTACTACGTATATAGATCTTATTAAGACATGTCACGTAAAGTGGCGAGGTTGACAGATGGCAAGGCGTATTGATCTATGTGTTACCACCAAAAGGCTTCTCATTTATTTGACAGCCCCATATACCTAGTGGTCAGCAGAGAATTTAACACAGCGAGTTTAGCGACTTGAGCGTATTGGATAGGTAAGTCTTCATTATATTGAAGATCTCATAAGACGGCCGTCCCTCTCCGACGTTGTCGAATGTGAAACCTCATTGGTCATTTGATCTCGTCTCATCCTCATGCAACTTAATGCCCGAGGTTCAACATTTAAACAGGATATTATTGGAAGAATCCCTCGGGAGGTCTAGAAGCAAGCAAGCGTGCCTAAGTGGGCTCGGGGAGCCTGCATCCAAAACCCTTGAGAAGGATTAATAGCCTTCTGACGAGGTTTCATCGACAGGTACGCGACGCGCCATTATTGGCTATTTTGACATACACTATGTAGCTGAGTGACATGCGCAAGAGACCATTGGTAAAGGTTGCGCCAGGTGATGTTGCCAAATAGCTCGGGATCGAGGGCCACGCCACCCCCGGTCTTCTCATCTATATGTACAGATTGGTGTAGCAGGAAAGCTTGAAGCAAAGCATGTGAAAGTCCGAACATTCACAAGCTTCTAGAAAATGGCGATGGGCCTCAAGATCCAACAACATATATTAATAGATGCCCGAGCGAAAGCAGCTCACTTAGAAGTTACAACTCCTTTTCATTAATCCCCCCCCCCTCTCTCTCTCTCTCTCATACACGTACTGTACTCATCATAGGACGGGGGTCTTTGTTACTTACTCTCCACTGTGAAGCGGAGCCTGCTTGTTCACTAATGCAGTCGAGGTTTGGGGTTATTTATTAGCATCGTCAGCGACATCGGATTGTATCCCATCAACGAACCACCATCGCCAATCTTACAAGACTAGGGGTCCATCCCGTTTTGCCGTTCCCTGCATGCACGTTGATGCAAGGGCTACGGTCGTCATACATACATTAGGTACTTGGATATCCACGAGGCATACAGCATAGAACCGCCCACTATCGTCAAAACTCAGCCAGTCCTTCTCGTCCCTTCACTAACCTACCTTAAAAAAGTAGACGCCCTCCCCGTTATCTATCCACAGTCACACGAATATCCATCACGCAATGGTTCCGGGCTCCTGGTTTTCTTGAACTCCTCTTGAAGAATTACATACACGCCGCCAAGCCCCTAGGATGCCGCTCTCCATATTCCACTCTCTTACGGATCCGTATCTAAACTAAACCAACAATAGTGAAGAGACGTGGGGTCTTTTTGGCGCGCGCACTGGCGGGGTCGTGCCGGTCACGATAATTGTCTCTGGTTCCCTAAAAAAAGACAAGCGACTCCAGACCGCTTCTTTACCCAACAAATTAAGACGATAAACATTCAATAAACCAGTCTTAGCTCTGCAGGGCTAAGAGGGGTGAATACAAGGTTGCTCGACGTCCAAAGTCATTCCCATACTCTATCTATTTCATACCGTGTATATTCTTGGCACACATTGCCCTATTTTTTATATTCGGTTACCATTTTTTGAACAATTCATTATTTGTGTCTTACAAGACTACTCCTGAGTTACAGGGTTAAGAAGAACCATAATCAACTTTGGAACGAAAGCGCCTATGGGTCTGCGTACGCGGAAATATTCGTCTATATCCACCAACCCCCATCTTCACCGTTTTCTGCAGATTGAGTTCTTACCCATCACTCCATTTAGGAGTGATTTGAACGCAGACCGCAACTTTATTCTAGCTCCTTAATTGTCCGTTCTGAGTCGCCGTCTCACCGCGGTAATACGTTAGAAGGAAAAAAGAAACTACTGCGTCTCTTCTTTAAAGAGGAGCCCATCTACGCACTCCCGTGATTGATCATTCAAATTTCTTACTTAATATTCTATATTCTATAAACCTCGATATTCTATTTGGGGTAACTTATTTTCGATGTATCAAGAGAATAGTTATCCCAGCCAAGATGTCACGGCTTACACCATTACCAGCAGACCTTCACAGGTCTCATTCGACTACCAGTGTCGATACTACGTATCATAGCTTCCATGATATCGAACTATACGAAACCCCCGCCGCATCTACTGAAAATAAAATGTCTTCGCGCAAAGATGATAGACCTGAATTCAAGCCTATAATCCGGCATGATTCCGGTTACGAGTCCATATCTCCCCGGTCTAGGTCCATTGAGTCTCGGTCTGCTCAACGGCGCAATTCCAACATGTCTACAAGTTCCTCCCAGACTCGACCGCGAACACGGCCTTCAGTGCGCCGTGCTGCAAAGTCCACCTCAACCTCACATTTAAAACATCTTAGCGAACAACCTACACACTCCGTCCAATTACCGCAACAACAGACTACATATTACTACTTTCCACCCCCAGAATCACTCTCCGGAGGTCTAGACGAGGAAGACGATGCGCACGACACCGAGCTATCGTATCCTCCTCCCCCGCAAACGACCCACTATTGGACTAGCGACCATACTAGGCGTCTCGAATATGCTGCTATTGATGCTGCGAGTCGAGGCGTCAAAGGCTGGATTATGAAGCACATTGTCCCAGATTGCTTCGTGCCCAAAGCAAACCGACGAGTGGGATTTGACGACGACAGCGGCAGCGTCCGGCGGTACCGGCTCGAGCTCGACTGCGACGAGACCGGAGAGAAAGGGGGAAACAGCGGCAAGAAAATGGGCTGGCTCCTAGGCCGATAGTTTGACGACGAATGAACTCATGCGACGACAGACGACGAGTTTAAGTATCACGTTATTGCATCCGCATGGTTGAGGCGTTGTATACCCACTTTGATTTTATCTTTATTTTTCGAGATTTTCGAGATTCCATTTTTTACTGTTTTTAATATCAAGACGTCTTTGGAGTCTTTTTTGGACATATCATTTGCATTCGGTTGAATATGGCGGTACTAAAAACGGGCATCATAAGAGGCGCAACTAGTTACGAGTCAATTTACACCGAGATTGATATACAGACAGAGTATGGGTTGAACTCATTATATATTGGCAATACCACTAGAGCGGAGGGCCTACATTGGGTAGCTTTAGGGGTTGCATTGAGAAGGCTCAGCGAAACAGCGAGCGAATTGATATAAGACATGTAATTATTCAGCAGATAGCTACTTCTTAATAGTTACATTTGGCAAATACGTCAAGTTGTCACGGCCTGATTCAAGCCCCTCAGTATCCCGTGTATTCATGAGAGAATGCTTAGATGCCCTCACAGAACATTGAGATGGATCCGGGTTGATGACCCGTCTCGTAAACTCATCCATAAACACTCATCTAATCACTTTCTTTGCCTTGTTGATTCAATCGTCGTCGGATAGAACTTTTGCATCCGGATCTTCTTCAGTCTTGTTCTTTTCCGAGTGGGAGGGCGGGTCATCTAGACATCAAAATTCCAAGTCAGCTCTGTTCCTATATAGCTTCAGGAGGATGCAACCCTACCGCTTAGTTTCGAATCGACGAAACGCTTGCAAGTATCTGATCCTTCCTGGAGGACATTGATCTTCTTAGTGAGCTCCTCTCGCATCACCCGACTTTCTCGGGACTCGCCAGCGATGCGCTCTACTAGGTCCGGCGACATGCTGAAGACTGCTACGGGAGAAAGGATGTTAGAAAGAGCACCGAGAAGTTTCTGCTCGATGACTTCGGTGGCGATGCTGTCGATAAATCGCTTCAAGGCAATCTACGTTGGAGAGTCTTGGTTAGCGACTAATGGCAGATCTCAGAGAACTTAAAAGGCAGCACTTACGTTGTAATAAGCGTTCATGCGATCGAGAGCCTCAGAGGCTGCAAGACCTTCAACGTCGGGCTCTGTCTTAACCAGCTTATCAAGAAGCGTGTTGAGGTTGTAATTGTTGTTGTACCGGTCCAGATACACCGACCCATCGAGAGACGACACCCCAAAGAATTCTCGTAGGATTCGCGAGAACTCATCCCTTTGAGATTTACCAATCCTCTGGATACTCTCCGCATATTCCTTGTTGTAGGTGATGGGGTGAAGTCGCCGGTGCGAATTAAGTAACTCGGTAGTCTTAGTTTTGGCCTCTACAAGAAGATCATTGAGAGCAGAGTGGCACACTTGGTCAAGTAGAGACCTGCCAATCTGCGTATCCGCAACATAGAGCACGACATGTTCGATGAATGTCTCCACGGCCTTCCAAGACTTCTCAACGTGATCCTGCGCAATCTTTTCCCATGGAGACGATTGTTGGTGGAATAAGTCGGACACAACCATGGGGCTAAAGATTCCGGGAAGCTCCCGACCACGAGTCCTTTGCATCACAGTCTGAATGTGCTTGAGAAGCTTATCCTTAGTGATATACTCTGGGCCCTGGGAATTCGAAGTCTTCATATCCGAAACCTCGCGTTTGTGGCCGCGTTTGGTAAGCTCCTCTGCGAACTCTCTATTCAAGCCCTGCACGACGGCACGGATCCGTTGGAGATACCCTCGAGATGTCTCAGCGTCATCAAAGAATGCGTCATTATATGTTCCGCTAATAGATCGTTCAACGATTGACTGGAAATCTTGACTGATCTGTAAGAGTCGAAGTCTCTGTTCGTCGAGGGTACGTCGCGGTTCTCCGAGATCCTCGAGTTGGTCGCGGGACTCCTTTAGCTTAAGTTCAATTTCGTGGATCAGACTTGGCAGTTCAAGAGCAATTTGACGAAGTAAAATATTGCTAAGTTTCTTTCTAAGCTCGTTAATCCCCAACATCGATGAGGGGAGGTCCTTCCAAACACCTTTAGAAAAGAACCGGGCCTCATCTGCATTGCGCTGGCTCAAGAGAGAGGACCCTTTCTGCGTTTCCGAGTCGAGATTCTTGAGCACATGCCAACCAAGGTCAAAATTTACTTCGGTGTTCTTAGCAAGTGCAACATAGGTAGACTCGCTACCAGAACCAGGCACCAAAGTGTCCGGCTTCGTGATGACTCCTATGGTACGACTACCTGTTCTGTCAACCTTTTGAGCCAAGTTTAATATTACCTGGTTAGCAAAATCATTCTTCGCGGAGACAACTGCTAGAATAATGCTTCTAGGTTGTTTCATGTAGTTTTCGACGACTTGTCGGACCAGTTCGACATCAGCTTCGCTCTGTGATTTCGTTCCTGAGTGAATTAGACCCGGCATGTCGATAATCGTGAGGTGAGGACGATCTGGGCCTGTGATCTCAACTCTGAGCCGGTCTTTAGAGAAGGCATTCCCCGAAGTCGAAATTCCCATGGAAACTTTAGCCTTTTCAACCAGATCCGGGAAGCCCTCAAAGCCGTCAAGTTCTTCATGGAATGTGTGAAGGCCATTCCGCATCGAGCGTTTGGGAGGATTATCGGAGATGATGGAAACAGTTACCCCAGTTTCGGGAGCTCGTCGAAGAACAAGCTCTGTAGGGAAGCAGGTACAAAGATTGCTCTTGACTGGGAAAGGCACTCCCGAGATAGCTTCCAACACAGAACTCTTGCCGGAGGATTGATCACCACAGACAATTATCTGCGGCAGGGATATGTAGTGGTCAATCCCTTGAAGACGTAAATGGTCGATGGAATCCAACAGCTCGAGTTGGTCCTTAGAACAGAGCCCATTCAGGGTCTCCGCGTTGAAAGAGAGAACCATCTTGGTAATAAGTTACTCCACGTAGTTAGACTGTTGATCAGGAGAATATTGAGCAACGTGATTTACGAAATATCGCGTTGTAAGAGTGCAATATGACAGTTATTTTATCTTAGGTAGGCAACTGCTAAAGTAATCTAGAGATTGAGTGCAGTTGGCTGAAATATCTGCCTAAAGCGGTGACCTAGGTCACCCTGACAATATGAAATAAAGAAGTACCCAGGTAATTGTCGTTTGTTTTGGCAGCAGGTTGACATATAAACAAGTAGTCTTAGGAGGTAGTCTCGGGCAACAACTCCTCGAGTGACGGATGCCTGCTTCTCCTAAAAGGAACCTGCATCTAGTAGGTACTTACGAGCTCTTTCAAGTATATTCCTATAATCTAGATAATAAAATGGCGTCTGGCCGTTTGCCTCGTACCAATATTACTGCCTAATCAACCTAGCCAACATTATCCAAGCCTCCGTAGCCCATTCAAGGCATATATAATTAGGTAGACTATTTGACGAAACATTATGTTGTCGAACGCATATCCCTATACCTCATACCCTATTACAATCAACACACGACCCATATGATAAATGATACAATTGAAAGCACGTCTAAGAAAATATCTCCTTGGCCGTGAGATCTAGCTCCGATGCGTGTTCTTCTGTCGTTGGTATCCGCGGTTGGACGGCAGCCTGCACTATCACACGGTCACACGGGAGGAAGCTGATAGGGACACGTACGCCACCAAAGTAGCATTGCCGCTTCAGTTGCAACCATCCTTTTGACATCATGTTTCCGCCGATATCGATATCCTCCAAGTCAAGAGAAGAAATGATCAAAAAGCCAAACGCGATAACTGAGTGATTATTTCAAACTAGAAGCAAATCAAGAAAAAGCCAGTCGTTATTCAAAACACTTGAATAGTCAAGTAATTCATCTGACATTGATGCCTCTGCTTAAAATTCATTCATAGATCGAAATAAAAGAACTTTTTCTTACTCGATAAAGCCTGACTAGGGGTAGGTATTTTTATTAATTCATTTTCGGATATACATATAAACTCATCGCATATTGTGCAGCAACTAGCAAACCCCCCTATTTCATAGCCGCTCAAGGCTATCGGCATTAGCCAACCTCAAACGAGTCCCGTTTGCATAGCGGCCGAATCAGCACTTTCGGTTGAGTACTGCGTATCATAATTAGCAAGCGTTTAAACAAAGATTAATAGATGGACAGCGAATAGGTAGAACACCAATCCATCAAAAGGGGTAGTTAAGCTTACTGGTTCCACTTCCCGGGTTGGCTCCGTTCCAGGTTCCTGTTCCAGGAACGAGATCGTCTTGTGTCACAGCACGATCGTAGCACGAGCACTGCCATAGGAGGTGGTCTGGGCTGTTTCCTCCCGGTGTGTTGCTGTTGTGTTAGAAGATCTAGTGTTAGCTTCGCAATCCTACCTTTGAAGAAGTTTCAACGTTCCTCGCCAGATAATGGGAAGAACAGGGTTATTTCACTTACTACTGACTGTTAGCGACTCTGAGCGAAATAATAGTGAGGGTAGATCAAGAAAGGACTGGGGATAATGTGTCTTGTCTCCATACATACCACATATCCGCCTTGGAAGTATTTTCCGCTCGGGAGCCAAGTGCCTGCTTCAGCGGTATTGTTTCCCGCCAGGCAAATACTGCCGCAAGTATCAAGTATTTTTTGGTGGTCGTTGTCAAGCCAGTCCGTCTGTCTGAATGTATAAAGCTCATTGATATTCGTTGCTTTCGGTCCCATTACCCAGATCCCCTCACTTCCCCGGTTGATAGTAGTTTCGGTGGTGATTGCCGAAGCTGTGCACTCCGTCGGCGTAGGGTCGTCGCGGACTTGGACTGGTACCGGGATATCGAAGCGCGCAACCGCCGCAGCGGCGCCCGAGGATAAGGCGAGAAGAATAACTAAAGGGAAATACATGTTGAGAAGACTGTGATACGACACGATACCTCGAAAACTACCCGCCAGCGAGAACAGCGGGATTGATTAACTTTATATATAAATGCTTTAGCCTGCTTTCCTGCCCTATTGGGCGACCGATCCCAACATGGTTATTTATCCGAACATTGATAAAAAAAACAACTTCAATGGAAACGATCTCCGGTGATCGCCAAACAAAGGAACTGGGAATAACCTGTGAGATTCGATTGATTGCCTACCTGCCGGCTGGTTAGTTACAGCCATTGCGTATCACATAACGATGACCAATATCTCTGGTAAGGATGCGTCGCAAACTTCGTCACTCATTCGCCAATTAGAGGAGATTAGGTAAAGTTAGTGCTGAAGAGCACAGATTATTAGGTCTCGGATATTCACTCCTCGTGAGCATTTTTGTGATGTTTGATCTTATTAGAATGTTTTCCCGTATGTTTGTATTGGGTAGATTGGATTCTACTTCAATCCCTTTACGGCGACTTTATGGTACTATTCACATACTTCACTCATGCCATACTTTGTACACCTTGGCGGTTATAGCATAAAGTATCCCCCTGGGATATCATCTGGTCATAGTATCATCGTATAGCACTTAAAGATCTTGATTTGCACTCCTTAGGAAAGTTGTGCTTCGTTCAAGTAGGTGATACTTTCTCCTTTTGTGAAACCCAAAGGGAGGGTTGAGAGATACTATAACTTACCTAGTTGATGCTTAAGTACACGTCTGCATCATATTTAGTACCCCGGCTGCTCAGTACCTATTTAAGATGTTATTATCAAACACTTTCTAGAGTGCTCTCTTCTGAGAATCCATTGGCAAGAAAATAAAACATGTTAAGACGTACTGCTTCAAGTTGCCGCGATGAAAACCGCAGTACGTAAAGTACAAGCTTAATGTGCGCTTCGTTTTTCTTCTACCTCGTAGGCGGTACTATAAATATCACGGTGATTTACTCTTGGGTCAGTATACTATACCTTGAAAATATCATACACTTGGTTATGCAGAGATTTTTATATTAACTACAACATGTATGAGTTATACAACCAATGTAGACCTTCATAAGTTAAAATAAGCTTTTTATATATGCATATATTTATGACGGATACGGGGGCACTTTACCATGTGGATTATAATCAGTTGGTCTAGTTTGGGTAGTGCCTTTCGCTTGAAAAGGAGGTATAGTCATCATTTCCTGGACAGTTCTCTAGTCGCTTTCCCATATTGATATATTTGACTGTATTAGCTATTCAAGCACAAGACCTCGTGGGTATAATAACTGATTTAGTAGATCTTCTCTCAACATAATAACGGACTGGTTCTGTATAAGGGACTGCCTATCTCGCGGACGGCCAGTGCGGAGTTCTCCCACATCTCGGCAGTTCAACTAGAGGGGGGTTTCTTATGGGAGGTTATAAGTTCGTCTTCCTATAGGTTAGGCTATTTAGTAATAATATATTAACCATCATCTTTGCCCATGCTTGGTATTTCATAGGAGTAATATATGGGGAGGGATCTCTATCAAATAACTCCTTGGCCCTCACTTAGACTTTGATTCTTTGACCCCCAGCTCATATTAAAATTCAGATGTATTATACGTTAGTCGCTAGCCTGGCGCTCCTCGCCCCTTATGCCTTAGGTGCGGGTATCTTGCGTTTCGGATGCAGCCAAATCACGATTGAACGACTTGACCCGTAAGGATCATATGCTCTATATCATATTATGTCGTTTCTAAGTATACCCACTGCAGACTTGTAGAGCCAGGAGCGAATCCAAGTGCGCACCTCCATCAAGTATGTATTATAAAATACTAAACCAAACTCAGAGGAAAGTACCTAATGCTGACAGGCTGTTAGGTCGTTGGAGGGGTACGTATACTATTAAACTCAGTATATTCTATCTAATAACGAGAAATGGAAGTAGGATGCGTTCAAAGCTACCATAGAGAGCACCGATGTTTCCAAACTTGCTGGCTGTACCACCTGTAGCTTTAGCGAGGACCTATCGAACTACTGGACAGCGAACTTGTTTTTTCGCGCTCGAAATGGAACATACAAGCGTGTACCTCAAATGCCTAACAGATTTCTAGATGGGTCGGTTGGTGGTGTGACTGTCTACTACTTTCCACAGGATCTTCGAAGCAAAGTAACCGCGTTCAAGCCTGGCTTTCGTATGCTGGTTGGAGACGCCACATTGCGAAGCGGGGAGGGACAGTCACCGAGGAACTGTTATCGTTGCTTCACGGGCGCAAACTTCGAAGGTGACAATGCCGCGCCATGTGCAGACCCGGTTCTCGACACCCCTGGATTTCCCTCGACGCCTTGCCCTGGAGGTATTCGGTCCAATATTCATTTTCCAACGTGAGTAGAAAGTGAATACCCGCCTTGCGCAGATGCCCTTTTCTGTCTAACTAGATGTTGCTACCTAGTTGTTGGGACGGAGAAAATCTAGATACACCCAACCATAAGGATCACGTCACCTTTCCAACAGGTAGCGCGTACACGTGTCCGTCTACGCATCCGGTCAAGATCCCTCAGGTCATGCTGGAAGTTGTTTGGGATACGCGCGAGTTCAATAATAAAGACGACTGGCCTGAGGACGGCTCTCAACCTTTCTTCTTGAGCACTGGAGACCCGCGAGTAACTTTCAACTCTCTTTGGTTTACTTACTAAAATCTAACTGTTGACCTCAATTCAGGACTGGGCATAGTCAGCACGGTGACTACGTGTTTGGCTGGAAGGACGACGCATTGCAGAGAGCCATGGACTCAAATGACTGTTTCGCTGCCAACTGTACCACATTGGCGACTCAATCATTCGATGTTGCTAATAAATGTGCTATTCAACGGACGGTTGATGAACCGGTTGACGGATGTAAGTGCTATTACCTGGTAGATAACCCCTTTTCTGGGATACTTGAGACTGATACTTATTTGTTCAGGGTTAGATGTTATACCTGGGTTAGGTTAGCTAGTGGTTATAAAACTGGGCAATGATATAAAAGATTCCCTTTCCAGCCTTCATTTTTTTTGTGCTTTCGATTGTTTGACATTACCTTGTTTCTTGTTTGCTAAAGGTTCTTCATAAATAGTTGACCGCCCTCACGGCATCAATGTATGAGTGTGTAAAGGATGGTAGGACACATAAATGAGACTGGCACATGCATGCGAAGATATCACATCGGATTGACTTTTGGACATGTTAGTGTTACATGCATATATCTTTTTACATCCCATCCAATAACATCTCTCTTCACGGTTCCATTGCCGTCATCATTCTCGCTCTTGACCCCTTAAATTTATAGGGGTTCTATTACCATACTACATATGTAGTATGCAGGAACACTAATATTCTGCAAATATTCGTAAGACATTGATTTATTGATTACGTCCATGACGAGGCTGAGACTCTTTGGTGTTTGCGTGTAAAATGGGTTAACTACCTGTTATAAGTAGTGGAACGCGTGAACGTTTTATTATTGGTCCTTGGCCTTGATTTGTGGGTTTTCCTGTTTCTTTTTTAATCGGATGTCGGAACTGTGTTACCTGCTCTTCGAGAATGGAGTTTGGAGTTTTTTCTGCAATTCCTTGGATACCTCATTTTCTGCAAGCTGCAAGCTGCAAGGGCTGTAAAGTTTTACGCAGTGCGTGTGGAGCTAGCGGCATTGGGACATCACTGGGCTGCTGGAACGTGATTTTATTGGGGTATAGACTACCCCACCAGCCCACTAGCTTATCATCCCTGCATTCCAATTACATACATACCCGGCTTCATCACGTCGTGAACGCGTTATGTTAGCTGTACATAGCGATTGAGATAGGTGCCTAATGTATACCTACTAAACCTTATGTTGTTTGATGCGGTTACCCAAGCTAATGGACGTCCCCCTAGCGTGTCCGTCTTTGTAACGGGCTAAACGCCTAAACAACTTAATGTTAGGTAGCGACAATGTAAATTAATGGTGCATTGACTCTTTTACCAAGAAACAACTCGTAGGCAAGATTGCGATCGAGGTTGCTCTGCTTATTAGCTTCTTGCTATCTATTGGTTGTTACTTGTTGTTACTTTAATCGACCCTGGCTAGTACCTATGTAAATAAGCTGAGCAAGGTTCATACGTAATAACCCGGATTCTATCTAATATTGACTTTGGGGGGTTTCTTTTTTCGGGTAGCTGTTTTCTTTCTCCTTTCCGTTTTTTATTTTTTGCGAATTGCCACGGTTGTACCTAGTTACTATTCTTGCGCCGTCTTTGTCTACGGCCTACGACGTGCTGTCGTTTGCTTGTCCTCAATATAGGAGTCCGGCCAATGCATTCACTATTTTGACTCGAACTTGGACCCGAACTCGGTCGTTAAAATGGATGAGAAACGTCCCCTCGGTACCGCCGGCAACGGTAGTGGTAGTAGTAGTAATAGTAGTAGCAGAATCAGTGCCCTTCCAAGACCAACATCGCGTCTACCTTTGCCTCGGTCTAATATAGCAACTAATACTACCGCTATTCCTACGAAGCCTGCTATCCAGAGTCGACAGCCTCCTGAACCGACGCGAGGGCGCTCGACCCAGCCTGTAACCGCCCCCAATGCCCGAAATCCTCGGTTACGAGCGACACCCTCTAAAGAACAGCTCAGGGCTACCTCGACTGTGCGCAAGACTCAGAGATCACAGGCCCCTCCCGTCAGCTCGCAGACGAACCGCCGAGATGTCAGTACTAGGAACCGGAGCATGTCGCTTGGACCTAAACAAGCTGCTTCGCAGGATAGTCGGGATACGCATGTTGAGCCTTTCAAGAAACCCTCGGTCCCTAGACGACAGCCGTCGGGTATACTTAGACAATCCTCACCTACGACACCTACGGGATCTACGGGAGGGACCTTATCTCCAGAAGGAGACGATGACGACATTGCTGTTGACTCTCTTCCACCTTTACCAAGGTCTACCGATGAGGGTCTTACTTTCGACGCATTACTATCACCACAGTCTAGAAAGTCCCCTCCGTCACTCACTGAGAGGACAATAGAGACTCTTTCACAACTGCCTTCTTCCCCGGCTTTTAAACGGCGAGGCAGCAATTTCTTCGAGGGAGAAGCGCCTCTAAGACCGCAATCCAAAGGTAGCGTTAGCTCAAAGTCAAGGCCGGGCTCAAGTTATCAATCGGATGGCTCGACTATACGGTCGGTTAGATCACTTAGTCGACCAGGCTCTGGCCTAGAACAAAACGAGGGTTTATATTCTAATTTTCGGGCTTCTACTAATAGCTTCAAGCCGCCGCTATCAACTACCTTAGGAACCCCAACAAAGAGAGTATCTTCTATCAACTCGAAGACCCCTACTAGCAAGACTCCTTTAGCCTTGAACCCGCGCCCGCGGTCTAGCTTGAGTAAAGTTCCTTCTCGATCATCATTGTCAGCTTCAATAAGCCCCCCAATGCCGAGTCTGGATAAACGTCTCGAGGCTTCAGTCTCCAAGAACGGCTCTAAGACGGTAGCTGCTCGTCCTCTGAAATCGAGGGCTTCGATGAACCACTTGTATAGGAAACCATCTCTTCCATCTCTAGACAAACCGGCGTCTCCTGCACCCCCGAGCCCCGTCCGCAAAGCCTCTCTTGCTTCCGTCAAATCATCCAGCACATCTGGAGATGGTCGCAACTTATCAAGTGCTTCTACTGCTTCTACGGCACTGACGGTGGACTCCATTGAAGAAGCACCCACGTCTACTGCTCGAAAGTCGTCTGCCGCATTACGAGATCAAATTGCCAAGGCCAAGGCGGCGAAACGCGCTGCAAGTCGACAAGTGCCGGTAACAAATGTTCCCGAGGCTGAGGAGGCGCCAGTTATCCCTACGGATACTACGTTTGATTTCGGCCTGTCTGATGACCCTTTCGGTCAACGTCAATTTGAGAGCGCAAACCGCAAAGTTATGCAATCGCGAATTGACACTGCTAGGACAACAGGAAGACTTAACATTGCAGCCATGGGTCTCAAAGAAATCCCAACAGAAGTCTTGAAGATGTACGATTTAGAGTCCGTGGATCGTCCTGGTAGTTCTTGGGCGGAGAGTGTAGATCTGACTAGATTTGTGGCCGCCGACAACGAGCTAGAGACGATCGATGATGCAATCTTCCCAGACACCGATCCCAGTGACTTCGCAGACGAAGAAATCACTGAAGGACATTTATTTGGGGGGTTGGAGTCACTAGATTTACATGGAAATATGTTGATAGCTTTGCCTATGGGCCTAAGACGTCTTCAGTTGCTAACGTCTTTGAACCTGGTAGGCTCCCCCTTTTCTCCGAATCCCATAAGCGCAACTAATGCTCACAATTTTGTAGGCATCCAATAAGCTGACCAACAATTGTCTCGAAATAATCTCACAGCTGACTAACGTTCGAGACCTGAAGCTCGGCAATAATCTTTTGTACGGTCGCATGGAAGGTGACTATCTGGCCAATTTGCAGAACCTTGAAATTCTTGATCTTCACGGAAATAATATTTCTTCCCTCCCGGATGGTGTCGACAAGATGGTGCGCCTTCGTATGCTGAATCTAAGCGAGAACGCCTTCGAGACTTTACCATTTGAAAGCCTCTCAAAGCTCCCCCTCACTGAACTGCTGGTTCGCAAGAATAAACTCTCTGGGACGCTCATCGGCCCCGGGGTAGAGGGCTTTCCGCAGCTCCAAATCCTCGACGTGACGGCTAATCAAATAAAAATGATAACAGATGACGATCGGCCTCTGAACTTGCCGTCTCTGCATCAATTTACGGTGTCTATAAATCGTATCTCATCGCTTCCCGATATGAGCTCGTGGACCAGTCTTCTCACGCTCAACGCGGATGAGAACAGTATTACAGCTTTCCCAAAGGGTCTTACGAGTCTTGAGAATGTGCGCCATGTTGACTTTACTAGCAATGATATTAGGGTTATACCTCCCGAAGTAGCTCGAATGGAGAGTCTCATCATGCTACGAATTACCGGAAACCCTCTTAAGGATAAGAAGTTTACATCGCTGACAACCGAAGAATTGAAAGATACATTGGCGGCAAGGTTAGAGCCTTTACCCCAGGCCGAAATGGGTGGGATCGAACAATTCGGAAATGGATTCTCACTTATCCCACCTCATATTGGTGATGCAAAACCGAATGTTCTGGCTAATGGCGACAGCGAGGAGGGGGGCCGATCAGACCCAGATGATTTTGCCACTCCACCAACCTCAGCGCCTCAATCTCCAACTCGTCGTTCACGGTCTCATACTTTGAGCAGCCAGACCTGGCCCATCAAAGCTGGAGGTATTCTTGATCGGTCAAACACACAATCATCTTCATTACACCCGGTCGTCTGTTCTAAGATCGCTGCAGTACATACCATACGTGATGTGCGACTCCAGCACAATACTTTTACCCAGTTCCCCAATTCGTTATCGTTTTTCACCGACACAATTACGTCTCTTTCGCTGGCAGATAACCAGCTCACAGGCGAGAGTTGGTTGACGGAACCAATCGACCTTACTGCTCTTCGGGAGCTCTCTTTGGCTTCAAATTTTTTCACTAGTCTTACACCACTTACTACAAACCTTTGTGCGCCAAACCTGCAAAAAGCGGATGTATCGTTCAATAGAATAGTAAAACTCTCGGTTCTGCGGGAGTTCTTCCCGAGCCTTACTATTCTTCATATATCAAATAACCGCCTAGAGGACCTCGATCCTGAGGCAATCAAGGGAATGAAAGTGATCGATGCTAGCAATAACGAAATCGCGCATCTGAATCCACGTATTGGGCTGTTAGGAGGGACTGGAGGCCTAGAGAGGCTAGATGTGACGGGAAATCGGTTTAGGGTCCCGCGATGGAATGTTCTTGATCGTGGAACTGACGCAACGCTCCGATGGCTCAGGGGTCGTGTTCCCGTGGCCGAGATGGCCGAGTGGAGAGCGAAATCCGGCGAAGGCGAAGACGATGCTTTGAACGATGTCGACTA